GCTTTTGGTAAGATTTGCATGCAAGGCTGTTTTGACACGCATAGACTATAGACCGTGGATGGGACATTTCATTGCGATCCCATTTATCAAGTGCAAGCCCTGATGAAGACGACTCCGCTCCAAGCAGAAATTCCTTGCGCTGAAGACATGCGCAGAACTTGACGAAGCCAGAAATCAGGGATCCTGGCATCGCTGCGACTTGCATCTACTTGACCCATTTTTAAGGCAGGCGGACAAGAAAGCGAAATAAGACAAGCAAGATTGCCAAATCCAGAATTGCTAATTTCAATCGCTTAACGGAAGATGCTACTAAATGCTCAGCAATGGCTTTAGGCCGCAACGCACAGTCTGCTGCAGAACGTTGATCTGCAAACGGATTCATAAACCTGCACCACCAGTGCCTGCAGATCGGAAGTGCATGGGCACGACACTGACCTGAACCTTCCTTGCCGATTTGAGAGGGGGACGGCCCTCTCAACACGTATCATGAGCTCCTGCACCCGCCTCCCTGCCAGTTTTATGGAAGTGACCTCTTTGCGGACATCCGGGATATTGCGGTGCCGCTGGCTCAAGACTTTGAAGCTGATCTTGTGAGCCACACGTTAAGGGAATGGAGGGCTCATGGTGTGAGCTGGAAGGAGTGTCCCTGAAGTGGAATTTCAGAGCAGCAGTTGCCTGTGAGCAAGACATTGAACCCTTGAATAAGCATAGTTCTAGGTTACTAGTGGCCACTAGTGGTGTGCATGAGCTTACAGTTTTGGGGTATGGGGCTTTCGGGCTACAAGCTACTGTAGGGATGATGTCTAGATCTGGCATTGTGATGCTTGGTGAATCTGGAAGTTGTCGTGCTCCTCTGTTCGATACCGCGGACTCGTATAAACGGTTCAAATGCACTTGCGCTATTGCCTCGAAATTGCTCGTTATGCTTTCCTTCTCTGACCCTACGCCTGAGTTGCTGGTGGGGAGGGTTAGATTGCAGCTGCCTAGCCGCATCGTGCGAAAGTTGCAAGGGCAAAACACCGGAGCTTGGAAAGATGGATTCCACCCTCTCTCAGCCGCACACACTCTGGCCTCATATGGCCTCATTCATCCACTTGCAGACTTTGCTGGACTCTGCCGCGCAAGCCTAGCCAGCCTAGCCAGGATGCTGCCTTTAACAAATTGCCGGCGCCATCGGTGACACCGGCAAGGCTGATGATGGGACAAGGGAGGTTGCTGGACAGTGGATCCTGCGTGCTACCGACTAATTCACTACATCTTCCAGAGCCCAAAAAGAGCAAACGGCATGGATTTTGCATTTCGGCCTATTGGCACTTCGAATGTCCTTAGCAGTTTGCTTTGTTTCGGAAGCGTTCCTGGAAGTCAACTTGTTCTGGAAATTTACCTGCTCCCAGCTGGCTTGTGTCATCAAGGATTTCAGGGTAGCAATGTAGACCTCGTTATGTTACCCTTGCTCCGAAAAACCCACCCCACCCCATGATCCATTAAGCGCTGCAGCCTCCGTTGCATCTTAAGCCCTCAGGTTTTGCCAACCAGTGTACTTAGCCCAAGACTTGTGATATCTTGTGATTGCAATCATCACAGATACGTGCTCGTTTTTGCGTATCTGTTTGCTGGGCCAGACAGTGATGACGATTCGTGCCTCCGTGCGTAAAGAACCCGTAGCTGAGTCTTCCCCAGAGTAGAGTGATTTTGAGAAATCTGGAATTTCCTGTCAGGTATCGCTATCTCGGAGGTGGGCAGGCCCCGGACCGGCATTTTGGGGATTTCCCCCAGAATTCTGGTTTGAGCCAATTAAGAGCCTGCCTTGATTTTCTGAGAGCCTCCCTTGATTTTCGCTCGAGTTCTGGATCTTGAAAGTTGGGGATTTCTGAGCAGTTGACTCGTCTGACCGATAGTTACTCCCATGCATCCGAAGAAGTGGGAAGATTCAGCCTCTAAGCTTCAAACCGCAATCTTTGCTTGCAAGCAAGCAGTTCGCGACAGCCTTGTAAATAGGAATGCAGCAGACTACAGAGCTTGAAATGCAGAGCCACGCATTCTACATCAAAGCTGATGATAACTTGTGCAAGAGGATCCTCACATTTGGCAGATCATTCGCAATGCATGCGTTGGCTAGATCGTCATGCCTTGTTATCTGCTAAGCTTGGCTACCAAAGGGGACCAGTGATTGCGCTCCGCACTAAGCTTATCTGAAAGTGCTTGCACCAACGTCTTTGTGGCTTACTGCTCGAAGCGACGTTACGCCGCTGTTGGGGCCGACACTGGGCGCTAGATCCTCAGGCATTCAATTTGCAGTATGTGCACGATGGAACAGCTTGGCCTGCTGCTAAAAGCAATAGCGTGAACATGTCTGAAGTGCTGGCAAGTTGGAGATTTGATGTCTTGACTGCAAGCGGCCTTATGCCGCCAGCATCTGCCAGCCATCCCAACTGCTAGCACATCAGACGAGGTCTTCGAAATTTATCATGATGCCAAGCAACAGTGCAGACGGTTGCAACATCGAAGTTCCAACAGTGCTAGGCTTTCATTCAGAAGCTCGGAAGCAGCGAAAACTCCATGTAAAGTGCCTGGATGGCGATATCCCGAGGCCATGACGACTGCGGCGCTGACGCTGCCAACACCAGCGTTGCAGCCTTACCCACCTTGAGGTGTGCAGAGCGTGCTTGCTGCGTAGTCAGGGTAGGTGGAAGTGGCAGGTGTCTTTTCCGCATTCATGTTTCAGAGCTCGAAGCACCACAATGCACGGCTTGGGGTTGAAAGTGCAGGTGAGCACTTGCTGTTTTTGGGATTTCAGTGTTGAAGTCTTGCACGATTGGAGTAGCCTTGTATTCGTTGTTTTTGCTTGTTTTTTTTGCCGCAACTTCTTTGCTGCTTGTCCCGTGCTGCATCACTGATTCCAGGAAGAGTCAGGAATAGCTGAAAGTTTGATTGGGCCGAAGCTTTCTCACAGCATGCCACACTGAATCGTCTCCGCGGGGCTGCAACCCGTGGGCTCATTCAGATCAGGCCGTCTGCTTTGGTCACACGTTAAGGGTAGAGGGAGCATGTCGCAGTGATCGCCATACAGCATCTAGCGACGTATTTGCGAAAGTTTAAAAGGAATTCTGAGTGAGGATAATTTGGGTCACATGCATGGAGGTTCCCTTGGCTTTTGGAAAGAGTGCAAGTGTGGGTGAGTGAAGATCAAGAAGTTAGGGTCCTCCTATGCCGGCTTTCGGAACCAAATCTACCTGATGTAGCTTTGTAAAAAGCTTACGATCGATGATGCAGAGCCCTTCCTTTCCTGACAGGAGTAAGGTTCCCAAGATATTCAGGAGCTGAAAGGAGGGGAGCCAAGCGCAAGCAGTTATCAGAAGACGGATCAGGCTGGTTTCTTGTTCAGCGTTCCTGTTAAACTGGAGGAACCCCAAACCCTCTATCCTGAGCCCTGAAGCTCGAACCCTCGACCCTGAACCCCAAAGGATCTCATCCTCAAGCCATAAAGCCAGCTAGAAACTAGAAGCCTTCCGAAAGCCTGCCCGCCATGGCGGCAAAGCGCCCGGCAACCTCCGCTTCTGCAGCTGCCAGTAAAGCCGAGAAGGACTTGCTGCGCTGCCTGTGTGCCGGTTTGTCACCATGACCACCTTCCACACCTTGGACAGTGTGGCTGCAGTTGTAGGTGCGCGCGCACATGTTTCTGCAAGGGCACGTGAGATATCCAAAGTGAAGATTCTGTACTTGATGTTCATACATTCGTCCCGTGGGGCTCCCAGCACACTATCTGGATAGGCAACCTGCTCAATGATTTTAATCCGGAGTCTCTCTTGAATCTTGCAGTCGTGTTGCAGGACGACGTTCCCCAGCAACTAGTCTCTCAAAGGGTAGGGTAGGATGTAGGCGGCGGAGTTTTTGATTGTTGAGTGTCTTCTGGGGCTTTGGTCTCGGAGATGTGCGCTTTGAGAATTTCGATGGTCGTTAGTGTCCATGTCGTTGCGAGGAGTTTGGCACCCAAATCACTAACTCGGCTCCAGGTGGCGTAGGGAAAGCTCTGCAAGCACGGCAACCCTAAGAGAGGCTCCCAGCATCCCTGATATCCTGATTTATGATCGTGTCCCTCCACAGCTTTGAACCTGTTTTTCCATGGCTGAAGCTGATTCTTGGAGCCCATGTTTGAAGCCCTGCCGAACAACATGGGCCACGTACTTACCCCAATGAAAAACCCTGGACTTTCCAAAAGCAGAGGTCCCCATAATGAGGATACCAGTTTTGCCACCGGGGTATTTCATCACGAGACCCAAATACAAGATTATGATCTACTATGATTACTGCAATTTCACTTGACACCCCTATCAAATTCACGTGGGCTGATTGACCCAAACTTGCCTGAGAACTGGTCTGGGCAAGACTTCTACTGTACAGAAAACCTTCAGTTGATTCTTTCATCCTGTTGCCGTTTCCGAGCACTAGGATTATGAGTGCCTCCCAAAGCCACTCCTGAGGTATGTGGCGTGCTCACTTGAAAGCTGCGACTTCTCCCGAGATTCGGAGACCTACTCGGTACGCTGCTTGACCTGTAGAGAAAAGCACGAGTGAGGTATGTATTTTGCTGTGAGGAGTGTTCTGTTTGAGTAGTCTTCTGAATGATGGGTTGGGCCGCGAAGTTGTGGCACACTTCGGTTGTGATTTGGGCCATTGCTGGGAGAGAGCATGGCACCCGGGTGATGGCTTAAGAGTAATTGCGGAACTGAGAGGCAGAACTGCCTCCGACGATAGTGCTGCTGCAGCTGCTGGAGCTTCTGGTTTGTATTCATGCAGGGTCGATGCATCGAAGCTGCCAGGAATGGGGGAGAATTGACAAGATTCAATGGGCAGAAGTGTTGGTGCTCTTTGCTCAATGAACTCCTTGCACCCTGGACATTCTCCGCAATGATGCACAGAAGAAGCTTGCCTTCTCTGTGGCAAGTGTTGCGGGTCAACGTTCATCTTGACATCTATAGTGTCAGAAATTTTCGACGCAGGCCAAGATGTTCTCCTTGACATCACGGATCGCCGCTACCAGCTTCTGAAAAAGACGCTGGATTTGAAGTCAGCAGTCAAAGCTTCAAGCATCACTTGAGCTCTGCTTGATCTTGGCTAGACCTGGAAGATGGGAGTGGGTTCAAATTGTAGAAGTGCAAGTGCGCTTGGGGTGATGTGGTCCCTGGTAGGCATAACCTGAGCTTCGCCGTGGTTCCTGCAACCTACATCTGGGAGGACCAGAATGTTCGGCAGCACTAGATCTTGACTCCAACTCTTCCGCATGTCCTGAATGTTTCATCGTTCTGCCTGTAAACTGGAAGCCCAAGCCTTGCTGAACCTGCTTGACTTGCAAGCAGCTTCACGACATAAGGTCTTGAGGTCCCAGTGCCAAGATCTTTTCATGGGGTTCCTCCGCCAGTTTGCACGGCCTGAAGAGCATTGTTGTGGTTCATGGGGTCCTATACTCCCATGTCGGATTCCATGCAGTTCTCGTGTGTTTATCCTGGGTTCTGCTTGCGTCGCTATTGCTACAACACAGGCTGCCCACATTGGCTGTTGCAATGCTATTTAATTGAGAAGCAGCCTCTGTGCTATCGGTGCTTGCGGGTGACGCACAACATCTTGAATCCCAAGGTCCAAAGTCTCAAGTGTAATCATCTTAATCTTGAACATCATCTCCCCAGAAGCAGTCCTATCCTTCCAATGACAGGAGGGGTCAAACGAGCCAAACCATCTCTACGAGGCCAAGGCAGGAAGCAAAAGGGTGGTGCAGGGTTCCAACGCATTCGGGATCGAACTCAGGGTCGCCAGTCGCCAGTACGTACAGGCGCTGCAAGTGCAGAGGCCCCTCCCGATGTTGTTTAGATGAGGCTTTGGGCTGCGAAATGTTCGGATAACATTCCGCTTGTGCGTGGCTCTGTGAGCTGTGCCGTGTCGGGTGCTCTATTTCTGGTCAGCGTTTGAAGGTGAAGGAAGCGGGCGAATGGCGCCATCGGACTGGGGTTCATGGTGGAAGCAGCTGATTGGGGTCTCAGTTGTTGAGATTCGGAGTTTCCATACTGTTTCAGCGATGTCCTCCTGATGCTCCTAAGCTGGGCATCCGTCGGTAGAAGCGTTTGGAAAAGCAGGTGGTTGCGGGAGAGCTCCTGCCAAGGAAAGTTTGAGAGGCCTCCATTTTCTCCAGAATATGTGGACTGTCCTTTCTGCAGGCTTTATCTGTTCAGTGCAGCTTCGTAATGACACTGCACAGAGGTTTACTCAGCACGGACCCAGAAACCTTCTCAACATTAAACTGATGCCTTGAGCTGGTGCGTATCATTTTACAGGACACCTTCACATCTCTACGGCCCTGATCTGAAGCAATCCCAGGGGCCCAAGCCTTTAACGACGATTCTGATGCAGTCTGATGCAATGCTTGCCACAGACAGGGTGATTTCTCTTCATGGATCTGAGTTGACCCTTCTCCGCAAAGCCTCAGAATTTGCCCTGCATGCCTTGAATCGCTCTTCCAGGCGCAGTGGTCATCTCTTCAGCTTGCTGTCTACCAGTCCCTGGCCGCCATTGCGCATGACCGGTTTGTGATGTCAGCTAGTTATGGTAAGTTGGGCTCATTCATGTTTACCTTCCTTCCAATCTTTATCCCGTTCTACAACTAACTTCTAACTTTTGAATTTTGTGGCTTCAGCAACCGTTTCAAGCGAGACGGGTGTACATCGTTGGGATTGCCACTATGCTGTTCTGGACCTCGTTGGGTTTATGCTGCTGCTAGGGCTGGTCTGTCCAGGTGTGCCTCAAATCACGAAAGCTCCTGGAGGGAGCTTGTTTTAGTACCTCATGGAGTGAGCCTGGGTCTTGGGAGGGGTCTTGGGATGATCTTGGGTGGATCTTGGGGGGATGTTGGGGGGATCTAGGGGCATCTTGTGGGGTCTTGGACGGGATCTTGGAGTTTTTTTAAAGGAAGGTTTCGGTAGGAGGGTTGCAGTTCTTCTAATGGGCAGTGAGGGCTGGGCTGCGTGCTCTTCTGATTGTATACGGTCTGTCTCTTCACGTCCTCACATACGCACATAGCTCAGATTTCCAATGCTCACAGTTCACCAGCACTCATCACGGCAAGTGAGCCTCGAAAGCGACTGTCAATCAATGAATTTTTGATGGTGTGTTTGACCTTCTGCACAGCAAGAGCCAGAGGACCTGCTTGGATGCAACGGTACGACATCCCTTCAAGATTTGGCTGGAAAAGGCGGGTGCTTTTTCGTAGCCAAGGAGATCAATAAGCAGCCAGGCAAGAAGCGAAGGGTTCAACCTATGGGAGATTCTAGCTGCCCTGTGTAGAGGTTTGCTAGCAAGTTGGCAGAGCACGCGCTGAGGCATTGAGGCGCTTTAATCGTTGACACCAACACCTGGCTAAGTGGCTGACACGGTTTTTTGGTCATCATGCCCAGAAGCTGGCAACTGATCTAGCTGCCCTCTCGGAGACTGGAGCATGCAACCGCTAATGCCAGTGAGTCTATGTGGTCTAGCTTCAGCTGATCTGTGCATTGAAGAATTTTTATGACCCTGCAGAAAGCTGTAAGTGGTTTGCGTGGTACCCACTTTCAGCTTCAAGTTGTACGGTTGGCAGCATCACACATGCTCCAGGCAGAGACTACGAATTCATATAGATTGAGGTGACCTCTGCTTTTCCATGCTTCCACTGAGTATTGTAGTTCGCACTGCCTCCCCAATCCTTAAATGCTGCAGAACAAGTTTGAAGCCGTCTGTGTTAAAATCAGAGCCAAAGCGCAGGGCCTCTTGAAATCGTTGAGGGCAAGCTTACAATGGTCACCGAATTCGGGCTGGCCGGATCCTCAGGGTTTGCTGGCTTCCAACAAATCAGTGTTTTGTGTTTTTTGCATTGACATTGTATTTCAGCAGCTGGGGCTGCGAATTGGTACTTTCCCATCAAGAAAAAGCTCCGACCCATCAGGTTTGTTGTTCAAATGCAGGCTTGCATGAAACGAAAGTGGTACACTAAAGGAGTTTCTTGACATTGTGGCATTCGAGCACTTTGACTGGACCAAGCCTTGAAGCGCAAGGGCCTCCGGTGCCCAACACCTTAACGCCTGGAGATCCTGAGTCCTAAACTAGATTCTAGCTAAACTCTGCGAGACACGCCGGCGGCACCTCGGGTGGATGCAGATTTCGTCCCCCTCAAACTTTGCATTGCATGACCCAGCCTTAGATAATCGCTGCGCACCGCATCGTTCCGCAACATGTACAAACCCTGCCAACCTCAATGTCCAAACTAATAACTAGGCCCTATCGTCACAGCGACCAAAACATAGAACCCAGAAGCCTGAAGGTTGCAGGCCATGGAAATTATGTGACCGTGCGTCCTCAACCCTAACATCGATGCGCGAAGGTTGAAATTTTCTGCAACTTGATTTCAGGTCTTCTGCACCAAGCCCCACACCCAGGACGAACCGCACTGCAGCCCCTGAGCAAGGTTTGGAAGAGTTCCGCATCCAGGTTTACGGCTGTTGAGTTTTCAAGCTATGCAGAGGATACTATCAAGCAGCCCGGACTGGTGTAGCACAGCTTCTTGAAGCTAGGTGGTAGCCTACTGCAGCTGAAAAAGAATCCTTTATTCCCCCCTGACCGTCTGTACCCAAGGACCAGCTCAGTTGCGAGTCAGGCCTTTGCTCCCAGGCTTCCTGAAACGACTAAGCTATCATGCACGGGATTCGAAGGTCCCATGTCCCTGGCACAGGCCCTCCGGATCTTCTGTGATCTTGTCAGGCTTGAGTCGCAGGCAAAACGTCACGCAGCCTCGATTGTAAAACATGACCAGTGTAGCAAGCTAAGCTCTATTGCAATTTTGGAAACCACCCAGGAAACCCGAAAGCCTAAAGCTACAACTTCCAGCCTTGAAGCCACAATGCCGCCTGCAGCCCAAAAGCCTCAAGCAAGAAGTGCCGCCAGAGGTCATTGCCGCTACACTAACTGCTACCACGCCCCCATGCCCACCTGCTTCTGCGACTTTCAGAGGCCTAGCCAAAACGTGCAGTTTTTTGATTTTTGTGAGGTCTTTGTTTATTTGAAAGAACGCAAACATCGGACATAGACATTAGCCACAGACAACTGTAGACTGAAAATCCATTCGCCTATCAAGGCGTCTGGGGTTGTATCCGTGTAAGTGCAACCGCCACGTTTTTCAAACCCCCGCTTACAGAAGAAGGATTTCGCCGGTTGATTGGAAACGCGCAGGTTTATTCCGTGGCTCATGTGCAGCTGCCTGATGGATCGTTTGTGAGAATGCTTGCTGTGATAAAGTGCTTGTACAG